TGTGTATGTGTATGTATGTATGTATGGGTTTAGCCAGTGCTAAACTGCATTGAACTAAATACGAATCTAGACATGTTTGTGTGCATATATATACATACATATCCAGTGGGCTCTTGGGATATATTCCGCGTTCTTAGTGCTTTGTTTTTAAAGTTTAAGAAGGGACATATGTGGCTAACCATGGGACGTGAATGTAGCTGCAGACACTAGTAGGGTACCTTTTTGTGCCCACACTGAAAAGGGCACTAAGTGAAGGTTTGGGGGGGGGGGGGGGTTNNAAACGTTAAACCCCTAAACCCTAAACCCCAAACACCTTCCCTTCCAGGAGGATGCTAAAGTTTGCTAACGCTACCTGCAACAATAAACAGGAAAGGATCCTCAAACTACAGACTAAACCGTGAAGAGGCCCGTGGATTTCCTAGGAGTACCCTTTTCTAGGGAGGGCTAGGGCTCACCAATAGAGTCGAATCTAACGTTCCTTGATACAAGCAAGTCCACCATAGCATATCAGAAGAGTATATTATATGTTGTAGTAGATTGCTGAATATTATTGTAGGCTATAGTGTACTATAATACATTGTAGTGTTACCGGAGATAATAAGAGACTATTTATAGCCCTAAACCCTTACTCCGCGAATCCTGAGCAGCCGCCGTCAGTTTGCAGCTCAAGCTCCAAGATCTGATTCCGTCCGCGTATCAGTTGAGGAGAATGGGTTGTACCGCCAGCACCGTCGTGGAAGGCGCCCAGAAGTCAGTCTTTCAGCATGAAGACGGAGTTACCTATCCCGAAGTGCGCTTCAGTGAGCGGAGCCACAGCTTTGACTCCATGGACGACCTGACCAATCCCTACACAGCTGACCACGCAAGTGCACCGGCCAAAGGCACGCACACAAAATGGGTGAAGCAGCTGGAGAAGGTCTTGGATGAGATCAAGGACCACCCCAAAGCACTCCAGACTGTAGTCGCACATAAACGCTCCATCATGGATCGGCGAAGTGCTTGTCATTGAGTCGATCATGAGTCGATCAAAGAGGCTTCGACGAGCCTCGCTTGCTTTCTTTGGGGATTCGGGAATCCGGCTCCCTTTGTTTGGCCTAACAGGCGAACATCGGTCGACGTCAGTTTTTTGCGAGGCAGCAGCTGTCGCTTTTGGTCGTTCGCTTGAGAAGGTGCATATTAATTGAATTGAGATACAAAAATATTCGCGCAAAAAATGATAAACATCGTCATCAAAATACTAATGTTAATAACAAGTATTAACAGCCATACTAATATTATTCATTATTATGCTATGCTATGAATATTATGGAAGCTTGAATACTTGCCATTAATATGTTTTGTCTTCAGGGCACCTTCTCAGAAGTAAAGAATGCATACCCAATGTATCCTGTACATTCGTTGCAAAATTGCAGGTTGCGGAGACTTCCTGGTTCGAAGCTTTCGACTTATTCACAGGCTTTGCTGAGGCCCCCCCTTTAGACAGATGCCCGGAGCGTGTGAAGACGGACGCAGAGTCTTCCAGGCCCGTGTCAGAGATCCCCCGCTTTTTTTGCCCATCATGTGCAGACGAGCGCAGCCTCGCTTTGCTCTGCTGGGCTCAGCTGTATGCTCTGCCTCGCCCTGTCAGCCACCTGAAGGATCATGGGTATTTAGCAACTATCGACTGACAGAGTTTCCGGCATGGGATTCATGCGCCGCCAAGTTCGAAGCTCTAGGTCGACAGGGCGATATTGCTTCCGCCGAGCTCTCTCTTCCCGAGGGAGTCGCGTTGTCTAAGAGCTGTTTCACAAATCCGGTTCTTCCAGCTAGTGCTTTAAGGGCGTTGCGGCTGTGAGTCGCATGAGGCCGAAGGACGGCTCAATCCCTAAGGCTCCATGTACCCTTATAGTATATACTTTGGCCTTAATGTAGTCCCTATATATAGGTACTTTGGGGCCAATGTCTATACTATTTGGGTACATGGAGCCTTTGGGAATGCGACACAGTGGCTACTGCCTGAGAGCGCGCCTTGGAAGGCTGATCGGTTGCTATCGAGGCTGTTCATTCGCTCACCTGGGAGATTCCGAAAATGAGGGGTACCTTATTGATAGGGGTCCTTATAATCAGGATCCTACTAGTTAGGGTGCTATATTAGGGTCCCCTATTTTCGGAAACTCCCACCTTGGCTCACTTTGCAGCCCCCTTAGAGTTTGTATTTGTTGTTGATGCCAATTTATCCCGGGTCAGAAGCTTTCTCGGAGCTGTGCAACCGTAGGCCAGCAACCCTAACGTATCCTATACGATAAAAGCTAAAGATTCCTAACACCTAAACCCCTGAAGCCCTAAACTATGCCCTTGCAAGACTCAGGCTTTGCATGTCCTGGCATTCTCCGGACTTGCCTGCCCTTGTTTTTGTTGGTTGCGTTATCCTGTAATGAACCTCCTCACCGCTTTTGCTGCACCTGCACATGTATATATATATATATATAGAGAGAGAGAGAGAGAGCTAGAGAGAGAGAGAGAGGTCGAGAGATCGAGAGAGAGATGCACGTACACATGTGTGGATGTGTATACATAAACACATATACATGAATACGCATTTGTGTATATATATATACACACATACACATGCATAAAATGTTGCATGTTAAAGAAAGTATGTATATATATATATACGTGCATGTACGTATGTGAAATGTGCATGTGGAACCACAGGATTGAACCCTCTCTCGTATATATATATATATGAAGTATGCATGTATGTATGTATGTATGTATGTATGTATGTATGCATGTATGCATGCATGCATGTATGTATGTATGTATGTATGTATGTATGCATGTATTTATGTATGTATGTATAGAAACTAGTGTGTATTCATATACACAGATAGGTACCCGTGGGTGCATATGAACAATTAAATAAATATATATATATATAGATACACATACATTCGGATGTGCGTGTGTGTGTATGTGTTCATATATACATATATACTGATATATACATATGTGCATATATAAGTTATGGTGCATATGTATATGCATGTGCCTCTGAAGACAACCCTAAACCCTAAACCGTTCCTGTGTGTCTGAAGACGAATCACCGTAGATTCCCTCCGGGTCTTTTAGCCCAGGGCTCTTTGCACAAGGAATCTTGGATCCAGCACGTGCCTAACAGGGGTTTAGAGTTTAGGGTTTAGGATGGCCTACTCCTCCGAATACCATACACCCCTAAAGGCGCCAAGCCGAATTGGAAATCCCCTCCTCGTTGTGCGTAGAATGTGGTGTCCGACGCTTTGCGCATCAACGAGCGACCATGCTTTCCAGCCTGCCTGTCTCTACCCGAAACCCGAAGTCCTAAGCCTGCAACCCTCAACCCAAACCCAAGCCTAAACCCACAACCCTATAAGCTACAGCCTCTGAGAGTCTAGACCCGGGAAATCAGAGTCCGACAGTTCGGAACGTATGTCCGATGAATCATTTTTCGGCCAATTCGTGGACCCTGCCATCCAGACGAGCAGGGGGTGCCTTTTATGTCCACAGTTCATATCGCTCTCCACTTGTACTATAGGGGCCGAAACAATTACCAATATTATTTTGGTGTTCTTTATTATAGTTTTCGTGTATAATATATCCCAAAACCCTATTCAAACTATTACGGCTTCTATATTAAGATCTTAAGCCCGCAGACTTGAGACCTTCCCTAACCGAAGGAGCCCCGCGTTAAACCATCTCCGTCAGCTACCCCGACTTTCACCGCCACAAACCCCACCCCTAAGCCCTAAACCCCAAACCCCTAAACCCTAAACCCTAAAAAACCCTAGACCCTCCACCCTAAACCGTAAACCCAAAGCTTCAACCCCTGAGACCCGACGCTCAAGGGTAGTTCTCTAAATTAGGGTCGTTTTTATAGGGGCGCCGCAATTACTTTGTTTTGAAGATCTAAAAACGGGACCCTGTGTTGGAGAACTACCGTAAAACATCCTAGAGCTGAATGCCTACACAACCGTAAACAGCACTCCAGAGAGATTGGCAGGGTCCGGATTCTCAAGCCGCTGCGCAGAAAGGGGCCGCTAGAACAGGTATAGTGCAGTTCCCCAAAGCACACCCTAAACTCCAAGAGCGCAGTTGTAGTCTCTGAACCGTTTCTATCTTGCTTCCAGACGAACAGTAAGAGTCGAGTGTACCCCAAGCCCATGCGCGAGCTTCCGTTGCACATCGCTGAGAGAAGTCTACCCACTGGAAAAAAGCCTTGCTTGCACCCCGAAACCTGAGCGTCGCGGTTGAGGGCACAGGTGAAGCATCCTAGAGGGACCAGAAGCAATCAGAACAGGGCTGGCAAGTTCGGAGTTTGAGTGCCTCACACTTTAACCTCTTCATTTCTCGCCGGACACAGGGACATGTCAATGTGGGAGAAGCAATCTTCCTCACCGGGCTGCATTCCTTCCAACAAGGATCTTATCTTTTAGTCTGTATCCCCCCATAGGTTCTGAATCTCCATATAGAGGCCTGAGCAATGAGCAATGCAATTCTTCAGGGTTCCTTAAGAAAGAAGCAGAGAAGAACGCTGCCGACCCTAGTTCTGAAAGTTCTAAGGTACCCTAACCGCCCAGGTACCTACTATATAGGGCCCTAGGGGCTCTAGTACCCTATAGTAGGTACCTGGGGGGTTAGGGGTGGTTGTCAAAAGTTGCAAGTTGGGGGCCCTAAACCCTAAACCGCTTCGAGGCTACGCTAAGCTTCGCCGAGCTTATCCCAACGCGCCTGCGGCAGAACTCGCGCGGTTCTCTCTGTGCTGGCGACAACCCGACGCTGCCCGTTTGCGGTCAGGGCTGGGGGCTTGATGGTTTACGAGTTTGTATATATATATATATATATATGTATATGTACGTATACAGACACTGAACTTGTTTCAGGTATTGGCTCGTTGCATGTTTGCTTATTTGTCTTACCTACTGTGTTTTTCGATGTGGGTTTACGGCTTGGGCTTGCTGTGGGGTGCTTTCATCTCGCCGCTCATGGGTTTCGGAACTCCGGGTCTGTTCCGTGATTGGGGGTTGTAGGGGTTTTGGGAGGCAGGGGTAGAGGACTTCGGCGATTTCCGGTTTGGGGTGTAGGGGGGGGGGGGTGCGGTTTAGGTCGTCATGTAAGAACTTTTTATGATGCCGAGGTCCTTCCCAAAAGGTCCTCGACTGAAGCCCTGGTCATGAAGTTCGTATTTTGTATGCCTGAATATACTGAATATAGAGTGACTCTGGTCAGGAGCCCTCCTTTATCAATCTGGCGACATGAAAGCCACGCCCTGGTAATCTCCTGCCTCCTCATGTGCATGAATGTATCTCTCGCCTGCCGTGCCGCAGCCTCAAAGAAAGGACCGGAGATACTGTTAGCCGGAGGTTAGTTGGGAATTGCAAGTTGGGATGTGCATACTTCTGCTACATCTTCTTACTTGTGCAGTAATCCCACTGAATGTGGCCTAGCATGTATCCGAATCCATCACCCTTCAGGTAGGTTTATAAACCGCAACTCCGCAGCCCACCATTGCGACAACGCTAGTTTGCAGTCTTGGTCGTCGTAGGCGCTGTCCCGGAGTTTCTGGTGTTCTACCCCCGACTGTACGTGACTGCACCCTCGGGTCCCCTTCGCTCGGAACATAATCTTCTTCGGGGTTTAGGGTTTAGGGTTTAGGGTTTCTCCCTTGAGGTGTCGTTGGCAGTGGTCTTACCACTTGTAGCTGGCAATCTTTTGTTTTGTCTCGTTCGTGTCATCAAACCCTCTTGGTTGTAGTCCCAGGATGTTCCGGCACTGATAATGCCTTGTCTCGTGCCTCACCAAGTTCATGTTGCTCGCCATATCCTTTCCTACAAAGATTCCTTTCCTCCTAAACCCTAAACTCTAAACCCTAGACCCTAAACCCTAATCCCTAACAGAGGCTGTGCTAGCTTATCAAGCACATCTCCGGCCGGACACCCAGTATGGAAGGAAATCGCAGCTTCGTATTGCTTGTAGTAGTACATGTCGTCGACA